CTAGACACTGATTAAAGCGTATGTCAGCCAGCTTCAGGTGAACCCAAGTGTTTTGATCCTCAATTCCAACCCTGTACAATCTGGTTGGTTCCCAGGGGACATTCCCAGGGGACTTTGATAAATAGAACCCTAATAAGTACTACCACATTTCTGGGCATCCTATTATTTGATGCATGTAAAGCAATTTATGGTAGTGGAAAACCTTGGAAAATATGTGGCAACCTTAAGTGGGAACGAACCTATGGATTCAACTATAAATACTTATGCCCCAGTAGAAGGACCACTGACCCTGATTGTCCAAATAGAGATTTCAACTTCTGCCCATATTGATCATGTGTAGGTTGGGCTACCTGGGGAAAAAACAGTAGATCAGAACCTGATAATTCAGAGGTTACCTACTACTCCTCATTGTAAATCCATGGAGTGTAACCCTGTACATATGACAATTTCAAGTCCCCATCAGTTCTTTAGTAGGTTTGGGAATCTTTATGGCTTCCAGATATATGGTACAGGAACAGACCCAGGAGCTATCCTATATATAGGTCTTGAAACTGAGACCCTAAATGTTCATCAGGTATTCCATTCCTTCTATGAGGAGATGAGTAACGAAGATGAGGTTCCACTTACTGTTAAAAACCTGTTCATCGATCTGGCAGAGTATTGTGAGTAGTCTTAATATAACTAACTGTTTTGTTTGTGGAGGTACAAATATGGGAGATCAATGGCCATGGGAAGCAAATGAAGTATGGTACCCTGGTTCCCACCCTATGAATCAAGTCACCATAAGGGAGAAGTCTAAATGGCAATTAAAGACATCTATAATTGGCAACATATGCTTAGCTAGGGCAGGCCCAATGTACAAAACAAAGAGAACGTTACCTGCACTCTGGCCTAAATCCCTATGTACATTTAAACAAAATGGAGGCTCTTTACTTTTATTCCAATGGCCATTTGAATATAAGCTCACCTGCCACGTCAAGGCAAGCCCCAAAAGGTGAGTCCTACACTAGCCACCGTGAGTCCTACACTAGCCACTAGATTTGCAGATACCAGCCAAGAATCTCCAATGACACAGGAAGGGGTATTTTATAAACCCTTTCACATTTAACCCTTTATAGGGCTTCTAAACATACAATAAACTTTGCTGGTATCAGACAAAGTGTAAACATCTCTAATGAGACATGAAGGGGTGTTTTTAAACCCCTACATACTTATTAACCCTAAAAAGGGCCATAACACATACAAATCACCTTGCTGGTATCAGCTAAAAGGCAAATTTCTCTGATGAGACAGGAAGGGGTGCTGCCCTTACATACTTCTAAACTCTTAATTAGACAAATATGGGGTGGCTGGCAGCAATGTAACATAGCTGTGTGATACAAACATATACAAACACGATAAAGGAGAATACAAGTGGGGTGCTTCCAAAATGTCAGTATATGGAAGGGTGAAATAGGTGTTTCCCCAACACCTTAGTAAAGACAATAACAACAACACCAGCAACAAAGTGTATAAAACACAGTAGAAGTGCTCCCTTCCAAAAGAATGCAGATATATAGAAGGCGTATGCCTGAAGTTGTGGGAGGGATTTAAGGCCTATATAACACCGTAAACCCCTTGCTTACCTGTCTTCGTCGATTTCGGAAATTCACGCCTTCGCTTCTGGTTCAGACAGACCTCTGACGTCATTTTGCCGCGACGCTCATAAAATTACTGTCAGGAACTCGGACGCCAAGCTTCGTGAATAAAATCACACGAACGGAATCCATTCGGCAATTACAGCCTTAACTGTAAGTCTATTCGAACAAACTTTTACACACTCTTTCGTTTAAAACAAACTTTTCGTGCGCTGAAATCATTCGGCTATATAACACTCAAGTTCGTACAAAACATACTAACCAGTCAGTTCTGCTCAATCCACTGTTCGGGAACCTTTTTAAACAGTTTCATTCAAATGTCTACTCAGTCACTTTGCCATGCACTATATAATGAGATAAATTCGTTTCACGTACGCTGTTCAGTTAAACTTTCACGTTAAAGACGTTAATGTTGGTCTTTCATTTTGTTTGAAGGCTTTTAATAGTTTAATTCAGACCTAAAGTAATTGATGACTCATCATGTTTTATTTATATTTTATCCTGTGTATATCTTCACACACAAAAATAAATAAATGTTAATTTGTATCTTAAATTTTACCTATTGGGATTTACTTGCGGAATTACTCTCCTTTCCTTTTTAGGGATAAATTTTCGACATACGTTACTACCAATTACGCAGAATTACACGTTTACGGTCCAGTTAGTAATCTCCCTTTCATTTAAAAACTTTCCTCACTCCTCCCCTCTAATTCATAGACTAATGTACCATTTAATTATGCAACAGCAGGATAATCATAAATTTTCAGACCAAGTGCCGAGTCACCCAGTCGCCTTAATATAGGCACAGTTTAGTCACAAAAATGTTACTTTAAATAGTTAAATACTTTTTTATAATAAACAAAATTAAAATAGCATTAGCCGATCTTATTTTATACACGGACCAGCCTTGAGTAATAATCTGCTACCGATTTATTTTCTCTTCTTTCTCACTCCCTTCCTCCGTCTTCTATTCTCTGCAAATTGGGGCTTCAGCTTGAGTAAAACCGCCCTGCCAAATAGAACTTCACAAATAACTCCTTAGGGCATCTCAAGTATGTGTTTCAAGTTCACATACAGGTAAGGATAGCGAGCATTTGAAATTGTATTTTATTTATTAATTTTATTACGTTCAGTCTCGCATGTATCGTCCCTCACAGTTTAGGTAGCTGGCTGTCAGGGTCTCAGGAGCCCAATAGCGGTTATCTCCTCCCGGCTTCCTAGCCTTGAATTAGCGGTCCTGCGAGGCCAACACCCATCCTCAATTCGGAGGTACTACGCCCCTCGGGCCAAATCATAGTTAGTCGCCTCGCATGTGGTATAGAGAGGGCCTCACCTGTCAACCCCATTCTATCTTATGCTTACAACTCACCGAGAGGCCAACATCCCGCCACAACGTTCGGTGGCCACAAAATCCCTTCGCGCAAACTCATAGATAGAGCCTCTCAAGCCGCTTGGCACCTAGCAGCGCCTCACCAGTCACCAACCTAGTGTAATTGCTTCGCCATGGAGCGGCACTAGCTAGTCAGCCAGCACACACACACTTTAAAAAAAAAAAAAAAAAAATTGTCTCCTAACCTGAACGTTTCCTTTCACGCCCATAGCATGTCTAACGCTTCAGTATGAGACGATGAGCTATCACTTGCCAGCACCCCGTCCAGGTCTAGCGCTCAGCCAAGACAGTCCAGTACGACATCCAGCTACAGATCTTGGACTGTTCCAAAAATCACAGCCGAACTGAATAGAAGAAACATTCCCTTTCCGGCTACAGCCAGGAAAGCTGAACTTTTCCGTTTACTAAACACCCAAAACGTTAATGAACCACCGGGCCCTAGTTCTGAATGTACAATACAAAACAGTTTGGCAGAACTACGGAGTATGATGACCTCTCTGGTAGCTTCTGTAGCTACTATAAACAACAGGTTAGATAACCTGGAAGCCACTAGTCAAACTAGCATTCCGGAAGTACAAATTCCACTAGGACAACCCGAAACAAGCTCAGGAGGTAACCCAACTCCTATTCCTGCCAAAACAACTAATATTATTAACCCAGTACATTTGATTCCACAAAATCTAAAACGTGACATACTAGAAGGGAAAGATGTTAATCTAGCTTCCCTCCACATTGCCTCACAGGATATAATCGAAAACAGGTCTTATACTTTCGACGATATATCCGTGGTAATGAAATCTAGAGATCCTAGGCTTAAAAAGAAGCTGAATAATCTTGAATTCGTGTTAGCTTTTGGGTTATATAGGAATGTAATTTGCTCTTCCTTCCCACACCATAGAGAAGAGCTGGATCTATATCTGCACAAGCTGGTGGAACTAGCTTACAAATATGGCGGTTATGCGTTCTACGACTACCATAAGTCCTTTTCGGCCAGATCAGCCGCGTCACTGGCTCAGTACAACACTCCTGCTGACTAGAGTCAGTTGGACACAGAATTGTTCTGTAGACATTTCGCAGGGCTTAAAACACTAGCATGTGCAATATGTTCTTCAGCTTCTCATACAGCAAACTTTTGTCTTAGTAATATCGATGGTCCGTCTACTAGTAACGCCAATCCAGACTATCTTGCTAACACAAATCAGAGGGAAATGAAAGACAAATTAGGGAGGCCTGTAGTGTTTCTTGGGAAAGCACAAGTTTGCTCTCCACAAGTTTAAAGGGATAATCCAGATGTGGACCCCTTGCTCACGGTGCCTATGGAGATATCAGCTATGCTTCACTGATGATGCCTAACAAGGCTGAAATGATCATCTGGGGTTGCTGTGTCTCTCGTGCAGAGAGAACTTGCTGGCATTTCGGATCTTGACTGCCCGTATGGGTGGGACCAGTCTGATATGTTTCAGAGATGTTCTCTATATAATGGCACAAGATGAGCAAAAACCAGCTTGAGATCTGAGCGGGGACCCACCGAAGGGTAGGCTATTTCAGCTGCTGCCCGTTCTCAGTATACTCTTGCAACCCATTTTCTTTGCTCTCCACAAGTTTGTAATAACTTCATTGCGGGGGGATGTAGTTATAGCGCTTGTAGACTGCTCCACATTTGCTCAATCTGTTTTAGAGCACACGCAAAAAATATGTGACCAAACAAACTGTTCCCTAAAAAAGCAATGACCCCAATAAACGTACCCAATTTACAACGTTACTTGACTGAACATCCTTCTTCACAGCTGGCTGACTTTCTCATCTCTGGTTTCACTAGAGGCTTTCACACAGGTTTAGTAGCACTCCCTTCAGGCATACTAGAATGCCCCAACCTACAGTCTGCGATAACAGATCCAGCCAGTCTAAAAGATCTTCTCAACAAAGAAGTAGAATACCGTTTTATGATAGAACCCTTCACCACACCACCATTCACTTCTTGGAGAACAAGCCCTTTAGGTATAGCCACAGGCAAATTTAGTAACAAAAAGAGGTTAATAATCGATTTCTCAGCACCTCACTCTTCCACCTCCCCAAGTTTAAATTCCCTTATACCTTCAGAAGACTTCTCACTACAATATGCTAAAATAGTCGATGCCATACAAGCCGGTGTCAACTTTAGTAAGGCAGCCTGGTTAAGCAAAATGGATATCACAAATGCTTTCAAACTTCTACCAATTAAGCAGTCACTCTGGCATCTACATGGCGTTAAGTGGGAAGAGAAATACTATTTTGTAACTAGGCTGACCTTCGGCTCCAAAAGTAGCCCAAAAATTATCAACATATTAGCAGAAACCTTGAATTGGCTACTACTTAACAAGTCCAGGTGCCCAGTAGTAATCAACTAACTCGATGATTTTCTTTATGTTGAGCCTCACCACTACACACCACGCAGTCTAAAAAATGCACTCTCCCTATTTAAGGAATTAGGAGTCCCGGTAGCACCAAATAAAACAGAAGGTCCCAGTACAGAAATAACTTTCCTAGGTATCACACTCAATTCTGTAACTATGCAAGCTAGCCTTCCTCAAGTCAAAGTAGACAGGATCCTAACTTACATTCACACCTGCACCAATCACGGGTCATGCACCAGGAAAGAATTACAGTCACTTTTGGGTTCTCTTAACTTCGCCATGAGAATTATCCCTCAAGGCAGGGCTTTCATCTCTAGGTTACTTTCTCTTCTACATGGCCTCCCTGATGACGGCACTAAGATTAATCTAGACGATCCTGCAAGGGCTGACCTAAAAATGTGGAATCTATTTTTATACTCATGGAATGGTAGGTCATTGTTCATTCCCCCCATCTCTGACAAATCCCCGGTTATCTGGACAGACGCTGCAGCTACCGTCGGGTACGCTGCGATATTCGGGGACGAATGGGTCTATGACAGTTGTCCACCCGAAACAGCTACCTTAGAAAACTTTGACAAAACCTCAGCATTGTTCGAGATCTTCCCAATAGTGGCAGCAGCACACATTTGGGGAGAAAATTGGAGGGGTAAAGCAGTAAGGTGTTTTTCTGACAACATAGCAGCTTGTAACATAATTAACAAAGGCCGCTCTCAATCCCTGTCAATTATGAGTCTAGTAAGGAAACTTACATGGTTGGCTGCAAATTTGCAGTTTTACATGTGTTGTATTCATGTTCCAGGCATTTTCAATATCGCAGCTGACGCTTTGTCACGTTTTAATTTACAGGAATTTTTCAGACTGCACCCTACAGCGAACAAGCAACCCAAAACTCCTCCGCAATTCAAAGACCTAATCATGGATTAAACCAGTCATTAGCTCACAGTAGAATTCTCGCACAGGCAGGCTTGTCAGTAAACACTAAAAAGCGTATGATAGGGCATTTGATATGTTCAAAAAATTTGTTCGTGACTTTAACATAATCATTTTTCTGTAGAAACCATGGTTGCATTTACAACTTTTTGCCACTTCTCGTTAAAACTAGCCTATAATACCATCAAACTATACTTGACGGGGATACAACATTTCATGCTAACTCTTTATCCAAACAAGACTCCTTTCTTATGCACATACCCTATAAAAAACATACTAAAAGGTATCCAGAGAATAAAAATCCAAAAGTCCCTCAAAAGACTCCCCATAGACAGCAACATCTTTAAAGAATCTCAAAGTTATTAGATAAAAGTCCTTTTGAACATACCACTAACCTGGTAATTAAATCAGCGGCTTATTTGGCCTTTTTCGGGTTTCTAAGACCCAAAGAATTTTCGGTAAAAAAAAATATCCGACATTGACATTTGCCTTGAACAGAAAAACTTAACCAAAGTAAACGATCATTATGTTCTATCGATCCCCCGCACAAAAACAAACCAAGCAGTCCCCCCAGTGGAGATTAAGTATTTCCATACCGGTTCCAAATGGTGCCCAGTTCAAGTGCTAGATAATTTGATAAAAAATCAGCATATTACACATCCAGAACTGCCTCTGTTGTCCCTACAAGGAAAGCCACTTACTACTAAATATTTCATGCTATACATACGTTCTTTACTACTCAGACTTGGCCTCAATCCAAATTCCTTCTCAGGACACTCATTCCGTATTGGGGCTGCCACTGCAGCCTCAAGTAGTCAGGTTCAGACACAAATCATAAAGAAAATGGGTCGCTGGAAATCTTCTGCATACAACCGGTACATTCCAAACCCAGAGAAAGAAATCAGACTCGCTTTCTATAATATGTCTAAATAATGTTGTTGTTGTAATAAATAAACATGTTTACATACTTTTCGGCCCTCTTTTTTCCAGGCCTAACCTCTTATTGGTTTCGGCACACCTCAACCGACTCTTGTTTATCAAAACTACACTCACTTTAAGTGTACGCCTCTTTCATAATCCCGTACACAAATAAAAGGCGTATGCCTGAAGTTGTGGGAGGGATTTAAGGCCTATACAATCCAGTAAACCCCTTGCTTACCTGTCTCCGTCGATTCCAGAAATTCCCCTCTCACCACACCCTCCCTTCATATCAATATATCCAGGTGGGTCCTCTTTTTTACAGGCCTAACCTCTCGTCGGTTTCGGCACACCTCAACCGACTCTTGTTTATCAAAATTACACTCACTTTAAGTGTAAGCCCCTTTCATAATCCCGTACACAAATAATAAATATGTTAATACTTATATGTATGTATAAATGGCAAGGAGGTCTTTACAATGCCTACAAAACAGTAACATAAAACATAGTGTGTACTGTACAAACATAAGTGAGTATAAGATGATAAATGGTTAAACCCACAAATTCTAGAGCCGTGCCAGGCTCTGTATAATAAGCCCAAGGGTGCCTCTACAGGCTAGTGAAGAATATCCATGGACCACTGGTGACAGATGGATCAAGGAAATACAGATGGAGTAGCAGCAAAGGATGAAAGTATCAAAAATGTATTGAATAAAACATAAGAAGTAAATAAAAACCTTCTTGATTAAAATAAGACAGCTATTTTTTGTATTTGATGTCAGTACCCTCTTCTCATATTTCCTGTTGTTCCTGGTATGTATCTTTTTGGTTTATTAGTATATACAGGTATCATAATACTGCTTGTCTGGATAAGTGGCTGTACCACTTTAATTAGATCATTTTTTGATCATTGTCGTTTTCTTTTTCTATTTGGATTCCATCTGTAATTAGTGTTTGCATATTGGATGTTTTAGCATTTCTAATTCTTTGTGATCTATTTTGATACCTGCTATACATGTGTCTTTTGTATAATAAAGCTTTTTTTCATTTTACTTGGTTGTGCTCCTCCGTATAGTATTATATAATTAGTTACATGTTAGGAAACTGTCATCAGATGTACTGAGCATGTGCAAGAACTGATCATTCGGTAGGGCAAATCACTATAGAACAGGGATATTGTTCTAATAATCTTTGTGTTGGGTATAGCTGGTGCCACTACTTCCACTGTTCAATTTATTTAATTAATTAATTTAAATATTTTATAATTATATATTTTGCTAGCTGGGGTAGGTGGAAGTTATGGAAAAGTGGGGAATTTACTCTTAGTGCTGCTTACTGCTAGTTAGGGGTTAACGGTAAAAAAAAAGCTTATAAAAATGTTAAATCTGTAAAAAAAAGCTTTAAGAAAGTTTAGGAAAGTTTTAAAAAAATAATATTAATAAGCGGAAAAATATTTATAAACTAGTTTTAAAAAGTTTAAAAAAAATAATTTTTTTTAAAACGCTCATTACCACTACACCTGGAACAAACTAGAGAAAAAATTACCCCACGCTAAGGTTCAAAATATGCCTTTTGAATTACCCCAGGGTGTATTCTTTAATAAATAGTATGTGTTTGTGGGGAAGTTTCAATAACCAACCATCTAAACTACTCCAAAATGGAACATGGACACAGCGTAAAACTTCAAAGTTAGAAAAAAACTGAATGGCTGCGTCTCACATGTGCCCCTTCAACATCCACATATACCTGGAAAATGTACATACGGGGGTATTGCTGTACTCAGCCGACATAGCTGAGCAACATATGAAGTATTATACAGTCGTAGCACACATACAATTTGCAAAATATACTGTGCAAACTCACTTTGTGTGTCAAAAAGGCAGAAAAAATGTTTATTACCACTACACTTGGTACAAGCTAGCAGAAAAATTATCCCACGCTATGGTTCAAAATATGCCTTTTGAAATACCCTGGGATGTCTTTTAGCCTGCTCAAGTGCTCCTAAGTGGGACACGGACGCATCAAAACCTCCATGAAAATTCACACTTAAAAACTTGAACTTGGGGGGCGGGGCCTGACACTCATGGCGACCAGACGTGCTTTGCTTGAGCTCCTCGTCTGGCCTCAACATTCACCTGGGTTTTAACCGAAATTTTGCTTTTGATCTGCACCCGTTGGAAACATACCGGAGCTCTGACGGGGCAGGTTCGCTTGGCAGTGGCTGGGAGCAGAGGCGAGACAGAAACAACCGGAGGAGACGGTGCGGCCTAGTCGACCTGTGGAGCGGGAGGGACGGCCGCTCTCAGAATCTAGAGGGTCCTGGACACGAGCTGAAACCTCCTGGAGCCCCGTTACCCCCCCCCTTTGGACCGGTGGGGGTTATCCCGGTCCCCACCAAGCTTGCACCTTCACATCTCTCCTGTGCAGCTAAACGTCGAAGGCAGTCGGCTCCCACTAGGCCACAGTAAAATGGCCAACGGCGGCGCAGCAGTACCACAGACAGAGAGGGTAAATCCTTTGTGGTGCGCTGAAATGGTGCTCAAGACCCACCGAGCCCGAGCTGACACTGGGGGGATTTCTCGATGGCTCTTGACTTCCTAGGTACTCACCCCAGGAAAAGGCTCCAAGACAGGCAAGCACCACAGCAGCCTGCATACCTATGCCTACCCAGACTGCAGCGGCACTCTCCTGACACGGGCGCAAGACCTACTTTGGCGGAGCACAACTCACCAACGCTCCTGAAGCCTGTGCCAACAACCTGCACCAGGAAAGCATCTGAGGAAGTCAATGCCATGGACCAACTCCACTACGCAGCAGTCTGCACCATGGTACTAAGGCTTGACAGGTACCATGTCCATACTCACCCAACAACCGGGAGACATGAGGAAGGCAGACTACAATTGCTGCATCTAGTAGCGGGACGCTGGGACTCTGTGGACCTCTTTGGTATTGTACAGGGACTCTCCTCACGTGTGGTAATGGGCTAATTTTTTATTAACTTTCTCATGGTCGGAGCTGGCGGTGACCCCAGCCTGCCACAATTAAGGCTCACATTGTTGAAATACGCCTCGGCTAGCCCATCTGATTTTATGATACTTAACAGATATTAATAAGCAAGTGCCCTCTCTGTTAGTGTTAAAGCTAATTTTATTCTCCTGCCGCCTGACACTGATAGCACAACATGCTGTATTCTGCTTGGTGGTAACTTACTGTAATAATGATCGTAGCTAAGCTTGTAACCTTAAAATTTTACAACATAGTCCATTTGGAAATCTGAATCTGTAACTCATAAGCACTCACTCGTAACTGACACGTTGATTTAACTCTTGATGAAACTACATGACGTAAAACCATAAAATGTGCAATGTTTAGATTTGCCACGCAATTGTTCTTACATGTTGATAAGCCGGCAATCGCTATTGTAGCATTGCCTGTCTTGTATTTTTTTTCATGCACAATAAAATAAAGAATTAAAAAAAAAAAAAACCTGAACTTGTCGCGTCTCTTTTACAGCACTGTAACTTCAAAAAATAGTGTCAAGGTCATACATTGGGCCTATTGTTTTACTCAGAAGGTGTAACTGAGTATAATTTGGGGATTTGTATGACAGTGGTACATATTAAGTGCAAGAAATACTCAAACATTGACATAAATTGGTGAAAAAAATGGTGACAAGTTAAGGCACAATATACACCATATAAGATACCCTGGGGTGTCTGCTTTATCAAATGAAAGCCCTTTGTGGGGTTATTTGAACAGTCACACTGCTAGAATACTGTAAAATGAGTCATAGGCCCATCAAATCCATCTACGAAAATTCTAACTATAGAAACTGAAATAGCCTTGTCTCTTATATGGCATTGTAGCTTTACAGAAAACTGCCAAAGGCATACAATGGGGGTGTCGTTATACTCAGCAGATGTAGCTGAACACAATATGGGGTTCTGTGCAGGAATAGCACGCACCAGCTTTACAAAAACCTTGTTATATGTGTATATGCCAAAAAAAAGAAAAAACACAATTTTACTCCAATATTTAGCAGAGATTGGCTACGTAAAAAGTGTCATACTAACCTTAGGTAAATAGCCTGTGATGTCTACTTTATATACATATATACTTTTGTGTGTCAATTTTGTGATGGCTACTAAACATACCAAATTCTAAAATTGTTGCAAATTGAAATGTTATTTTAGTCCTTGTATGTTGTGACCTGTAGCTTTCAAAATAAGCTGAAATTCTAGACATATGATGTACTCTATAAATCAAGACACATAAATGAATTTATTTTGAATTACTTTTTCTTAGCTGGACATATTTTGCACATGCTATTATTGCCAAAATTGTGAAAAATAATATTTGTTTTTTTTTTTTTTTGCATGTTTATATAACTAATGAGAATGTATCTATGTATATGTGACCTCAAATTAAAGCCCTGTTTGCCCTCTAAAAAACGATGTATAATATGTGTTGATGCAATAAATGACAGAGATGCAAATTGCGTTTGAATACAAACAGCAGAAAAATGCAGAAATGGCCTTGGTCCTTAAGCGTAAGACAAGCTTCTGAAGCTCTGTCCTTAAGTGGTTAAATGCATTTTCATATATATTCATGTAAAGCATTGCAGAATTAAAATGATTTACAATATACACTGTGAGCATTCATTCATATTGGGGAAATTGAATTGTAGATTATACTAGTTTTTGTTTTTTTAAATTTATATTTCTTTATTAAATTCAATTTTTGATAAAAACAAAATACAAATAAGACAGTAATATATAAGACAAGGACTCAAAACAGAAAGACTTGCATTGTAATATAATCCTAAATAATTTAACTTAAGGTCTTTATACAACATTAAAGACATACATAAAAAAAAAAGCTTGGGAGCTAGGGGTATACTCAATTTTCTTTTAATAAATGAGGATATAAAATTGCAGAACATATATCAAAATTGAAAAAAGATATAGAAAAGAAAAGTATATTTTGTCATTATATTTGATGGTTATCTATCTTTTAAATTATCTTATTTTATCTTATCTTTTCCAAATTTCAAAATGTGCTGTTACATAAGACTCTTCCTACAGATCTTATATTCCATTTTACATTGGTAAATACACCGTGGCCATTAGTATGTGAGTGGTTAGCATTTTATCTGCTTTAAGTAACTGAGGCCAGTTAATATGTAATAAGATTTTTTCTGGGGAGAAAGGTAATAACATCTGTAGATAACTATATAGCTATCTATTTACAATTCTCCAGAATTCCTGTATTTTTATACAGTTTCACCAAATATGACAATAGTTGGCCTTCAAATATCCACATCTCCATCATCCAGTAGGATCCTGTAATAAGCCGAATTTTTCTAGCCTGCTTGGCGTTAAATACCATCTATTGATCTATATATGTCATCAAACTATATACCCCCCTCTGAACCAAGCCACGCAGCACATGCGCAGTCCAACCTCTGACATAGGGGGTTGATATACTCCATAGGGAGGCACACAACATTGTAAGAGTGCACACCTCACGCGGTGTAAACCAAGCCCTATGCGTATTTACAAACGCCTGGGGCATATTTAGACATGTTTGTTTTTAAACTGTAGTGAATGGTGAATATGAAACCAAGACCCTCACAATGGCATGTTGAGACATGTTTTTAGGAGATATAGTGCGCTTTAAAACCAAGAACCATTAACGGATATAATCCCCTATTTTGACTATATTTTACATAATAGTAAGAAAGAAGACAAGTGATATCATTTTTAAAAATATATTTATTAGACAGTAAAAAAAATACGACAAATAATATAAAATAGCAATATATGTAAACAATGAAAAGTACAATGTGTGAATAAAAAAACATAATGTTTCAACCCATTAAATTTTACATACATTAAAAAGAAAACAGTGATAATTATAAAAACTTATATATATTTTAAAAAAGAAATATATATCAAAAATGTTAAAGGTAGTCAGCACTCTAGGTCTTTTGAGAAAAATAGATAATCTTTATTGAAGATCCCAAACGGTCAACGTTTCAGTTCGCACAGGAACTTTCATCAGGACATAGTATCACATACATTAACGAAATCGTTATATATAAAAGTAAACAAGCTTACCAAACCACCATCACCTGTGTGTGAACGTCCCTCCTCCCTGCGTCTGCACGCTCTCTGAGACCTCCTCCTGTGACGACACCGGCGAGAACGTTACCATGGTAATGAACATACACAAAACTGATGTGCCTAAAGAGAAGCCCTCCGTTCTGTTAAAACCATAGTGTACTTGGTTTTTAACATCATAAGTCCATCAACAATGTTAATACATATTATGGCATACAGAAAAAGACGCCTCCATGCATGCTCAGTAATCGATCACCGAGCCGTCTAAATACTGTTAGGGTGAATCAAAGAGTGAATGAATCTATACTGATCATTAAGTGCATAGTGCTGGTAATGGATGATATAGATCGTCTCAAACTACCGGTATATGATCCTACGGCAGAAAAAAACATCGCTGTGAATCGGTAACCTATCACCGAGCCTTCTGAAATGCTGTTTAAGTGAATCAAAGAGTGAATGAATGTATACAGATAATAAAGTGCATGGTGCTGGTAATGGATGATGTTGATCATCTCAAACTTCTGTTATGTGATCCATAATCTAATGAAAAGAAATGTGAACAACAAATACTTAGTGATAAAAATATCTATTTTAAAGTGCAAAGCATAATTACAGATGTCACATATGACATTCATGAGAGTGATGATACCTCATCATAAACTCATCACTCTAACTATTGAAAACCTAGAGTGCAATCTAAAGTGTGTTATCGTGGATATAAAACCATCACCATGGTGGTGTAAATAAACAAACAGAGATGCTCAAAAAACATTGCTATATCATTACAGAAAATAAGACCATAATTTTCACGATGCATATATACAATTATTGTGTCAATTGGAGGCTTTATGGGATCGATAATCGAACGCCCATAGGTATGGTAGACTATTCTAATTGAAAAGATAAGAATCCACTAACATGATTTATGTCATCCAAGTGTATGAAATAGAAAAAATAAAAAAGGCGTTCTAGGTAAATCATTAGTAATGGGGACTGAATAGGGATCTCCAGAAAAAACACAAATCGTAACTATTGTCGTCTCTCTTGAAATCCCTAAAGAAAGCAGAACAAAAACATAAATCTGACCCTAGTCCGTGTAATTTATCGGAGGTAGAGTCCTTGCGAATATCCATCCGCGAAACGCTTCTTGATGATATAGCAAGAGATATTGTGTGGTCCAGGAGGACCTACTATGAAAAATCTAATAAAATGGATACGCTGTTAGCCAGATCCCTCTGTCCGAGACAAAGGAGTACCCACATCACGAAAATTAAAGATGCATTGGGTAAGTACCAAACGGCCCCTACCAACATAGCTAAGGTATTCACAGATTATTACACAAAACTATATAACCACTCCTTCGGTGATGCCGTCGATACGCAAAGAGAAATTGACAACATTCGTGCTTATCTCTCCTAGTTAGCTCTTCCTAAATTGTTGGGTGCAAACTCCCATGACCTGCGGAGACGGATTTCAGCTGAGGAAATAGATGCGGCCATATCTTCTTTAAAAGGCAATAAAGACATTTCATGAAGAACTCTCACCCCACCTAGAATCCTGGTTCAATGATCTAATGGAAGGGGGAACACCAGATAGAGATATGTCACTGGCAGACTTCGTGCTATTGCCGAAACTGGCAAAAATGATTCGGCCCCAGAAAACTTCCGTCCAATTTCTTTAATAAATCATGACTCCAAAATCCTAGAAAAAATTCTCGCTGGCAGATTGAATCCACCCAGATCAGGTAGGATTTGTGCAAGTCAGGCAATTATTCGAAAACACTAGACACAATGTAGATCTTATATGGAGACAGGCCGCCATGGGTACTCCGACTTTGATACTGTCACTTGACGCCGAGAAGGCGTTCAACAGGGTCAAATGGCCTTATCTATTCGAAGAACTGGCGCACTTCAGAATTCCGGACCCGTTCATCACTGCAATTCGTGCAATGTATACCAACGTTAAGGCACAGGTTCGGATCTCGGGCGCGAATGCTGCCCCATTTAAACTAAGTAACGGCCCCAGGCAGGTGCTATTCGCCATTTCCTTGGAGCCTCTCTTGCAGACAATTCGCACCAACCCGTATATTAAGGGAATTACAATTGGGGGACAGCAATATGTGGTATCAGGCTTTGCTGATGATATTTTATTGACCCTGACTGACCCTTGGGACTCCATGGCGGCACTGATGGAAGCACTGGTGAAATATAGTGATTTAGCAGGATACAAAGTAAACGCTCCCTATAGGCATGTCAGCGGCAGACACGGCCCACTTGGGCAAGACCTACCATTAACATTTATCTCGGGACCGCATTAAGTACTTAGACATACAGTTAACGGCGGACCCCACTCAACTAAATCAACAAAATTATGTCCCTATGTTCAGAGCCTTAATAAACGACATGGAGATGTGGGTTGATAAGCCAATCTCTTCGATTGGCAGGATACACTCTGTGAAAATGAATGTGCTAGTGTTCCTCTTCCAAGCCCTCCCAGTTCGACTGACTAAATCTAATTTAGAAGCTCTCCAGCAGGCTTTTGGCAACTTCATTTGGCAGAATAAGAAAGATAGAGTTTCCCGCAATGTCCTTTTATAGAGCAAAAACTAGAGGAGATTTGGGTCTGCCGAACCTTTATTTTTATTATTTGGCAGATCAGCTAACCGAAATAGCGTTATCGCACCGTTCAGGACATCACTATTCTTTAGTTACCCACATGAAAAACTGGGGCATGTCTGAGCCCATAAGAGAGGACTCCAGATCCACTCACCTTTTTTCCTCTGGGGAAAAAAGGTGAGTGGATCTGGAGTCCTCTCTTATGGGCTCAGACATGCCCCAGTTTTTCATGTGCGTAACTAAAGAATAGTGATGTCCTGAACGGTTCGCGAACGGTTCGCCACGAACGGTTCGCCGCGGACTCATCATTGAGTAAACTTTTACCCTGTACCTCACAGTCAGCAGACACATTCCAGCCAATCAGCAGCAGACCCTCCCTCCCAGACCCTACCTCCTCCTGGACAGCTCACTAAGAATGCAGCTTCACAATGAATGTAAAATGGATGCTGTCCAGGAGGTGGGTGGGTCTGGGAGGGAGGGTCTGCTGCTGATTGGCTGGAATGTGTCTGCTCACTGTGAGGTACAGGGTCAAAGTTTACTCAATGATGAGTCCGTGGCGAACCGTTTGGGACATCACTACTAAAGAACATAGAACATAGCAATTTGAAACTCTTTTAAAATATGGGATGCCACCGCTTCGAAATATGGCTTATCGTCTTCCACTTCTCTGTTAACCCCTTTTCTGAGGAATAGGATGTTTATGCCGGGCATGAGAGCACTGACTTTAGGGGTATAGAATGCACAGGAATGCAGTGACTATGTCATCTGTATGAAGGCGGTTTTTTCATAACATTCAAAGAATTGAAAATTAGGGCCCCATTACAACCTTTTAACTTTTTTTGTTATATCCAGCAGTACTGGCAAAATATTCTGTGAACAGATGAAACCAAAGTTGAGTTGTTTGGAAGAAACACACAACACTGTGTGGCGAAAAAAAGGCACAGCACACCAACATCAAAACCTCATCCCAACTGTTAAGTATAGTGGTGGGGGCATCATGGTTTGGGGCTGCTTTGCTGTGTCAGGGCCTGGACGGATTGCTATCATCGAAGGAAAAATGAATTCCCAAGTTTATCAAGACATTTTGCAGGAGAACATAAGGCCATCTGTCTACCAGCTGAAGCTCAACAGAAGATGGGTGTTGCAACAGGACAATGACCCAAAGCATAGAAGTAAATCAACAACAGAATGGCTTAAACAGAAGAAAATATGCCTTCTGAAGTGGCCCAGTCAGAGTCCTGACCTCAACCTGATTGAGATGCTGTGGCATGACCTCAAGAAAGCGATTCACACCAGACATCCAAAGAATATTGCTGAACTGAAACAGTTCTGTAAAGTGGAATGGTCAAGAATTACTCCTGACCGTTATGCACGTCTGATCTGCAACTACAGGAAACGTTTGGTTGAAGTTATTGCTGCCAAAGGAGGTTCAACCAGTTATTAAATCCAAGGGTTCATATACCTTTTCCACCTGCACTGTGAATGTTTACATGGTGTGTTCAATAAAAACATGGCAACATTTCATTCTTTGTGTATTATTAGTTTAAGCAGACTGTGATTGTCTATTGTTGTGACTTATATGATGATCAGATCACATTTTATGACCAATTTGTGGAGAAATCCGTATCATTCCAAAGGGTTCACATGCTTTTTCTTGCAACTGTATGTGGTGGGAATGCTCAGAGGTGCAAGCATATTGTAAACAGATCCTTGAAAGGGAAGTCAAGCTAGACCCCTGGGTGTTTTTATTAGCCAGGTCTATGGATGAATGGACAAAAACGGAACGAGAACTCTTACATAAAATGAACCTGGCAGCCAGGATGGCTTTAGCACAGGTTTGGCTCCAGAGGGAGACTCTTTCCCTCGCTGCAGTGATAAAATAAAAATCAAGGACACATACCTTATGGATAAATTAACTGCCCAGGTCCAAGGGACAATGAAGAAGTTCGAAAAACTTTGGGGACCAATACCTCATTCCCACTATGTTATTCCATTTACTCCCCCGACTCCCCCTCCCCCGCTTTCCTTTACCCCCCCGCCAGGGCCGCCATCAGGGGGTGACAACCGTGATGGTTGTCACGGGCCCGGCGGCCCTGGGGGGCCTGGCCGCCCCGGCCCCACACGGAGCGGCGAAACTGCCGCAGGTGAATCTGCACCGGGACCCATCAGGTGGCCCAAGCATTTAGGGCCACCCGATGGGCCCTTTATCTTCAGGGGCCCGGTCAGCGCGTTTTTTAGTAGCAACACGTTTCATATTATTATAACGAATCGCTACAAATTGTTACACAGTGTATAAAGGTATTATACTCCTCATGAGTTTAGAAGCAGAAATATCCTGGTGGTAAATACATCTATTCCTTATTCCCCTATGATTTTTAATTCAATAAGCTGTCCATGACTACTTCACTAATATGTAACCCCAGACAATTTGGTAATAGGGAAATGCTCAATAGAAAGCCGGCAGGACAGTACACGTATACTACGAAAATGCCTTACCAAACTGATAATGATCGATCACTTATATTGCTGTTAGCATAAGGAGGAGAGAAAATCCCCAAAGTTAACAAAGTTTTGTATAAAAACTATTGTAGCTGAGTTGTATGCCCCCCGTTTCTGTAATAACAAGAGGAGCCGTTAGAAACATAGAAACATAGAATGTGACGGCAGATAAGAACCATTCGGCCCATCTAGTCTGCCCAATTTTCTAAATACTTTCATTAGTCACTAGCCTTATATTATAGTTAGGATAGCCTTATGCCTATCCCACGTGTGCTTAAACTCCTTTACTGTGTTAGTAAGATTGTTTGTCCGATAAGCCCTTAAGGTGTCTTGCAGCACTATGTGCAATTGCTACATATAGATGCAATATCACTAGGATTCCTGAGAAGTGCTCCTGTCAAAATAAATTCTTTTACAATTGCTGTCTTACAGTCAAAATGCCCCTTCTTTAGAGTAAACTTAAGCTGTCTAAAAACGCTTCATTTAAAGGACCACTATAGTGCCAGGAAAACATACTTGTTTTCATGGCACTATAGTGCCGTGAGGGTGGCAAGGAAAGGAGTTAAACTTACCTTTATTCCAGCGCCAGGCGGAGAGTTTTCCTCCTCTCCGCCTCCGATCCTCCTCTTCGGCTGAATGTGCATGCGCGGCAGGAGCTGCGCACGCATTCAGCCGGTCTCATAGGAAAGCATTCATAATGCTTTCCTATGGACGCTGGTGTCTTCTCACTGTGATTTTCAAATTGAGAAGCACGCAAACGCCTCTAGCGGCTGTCAATGAGACAGCCACTAGAGGCTTTAGAGGCTGGATTAACCCATTTATAAACATAGCAGTTTCTATGAAACTGCTATGTTTATAAAAAAAAAGGGTTAATCCTAGAGGGACCTGGCACCCAGACCACTTCATTAAGCTGAAGTGGTCTGGGTGCCTAGAGTAGTCCTTTAAGATTCTATACTAGCGTCAAACCATCTCTCATAACAATTGTCTAAGGCTGTATAGTACTCAGATTCTAAGACCTAATAAACAACCTATGGATAGTCCTAAAGCATCCTTGTGTGTTTTTTTTGTCCATTTGGACTTTTAATTATGACCTATTAAATGATACATTTTCAAATTCCTATATTTTGTTATTAGTTTAGGCTACCCTCTCCATTTTCTTTTTTTCTTTCTATTCATTCCCACTGGGGTTATCCCCCATTTAAAGGAGAGGTGAAACTTGTTTTGGCTCTATGTCTTTTTCTTTTTCTATTCTAGCCTGTTAAAGTGTATTGTGTTTTTTTTCACGCATTGTACTTTTCATTGTTTACATATATTGCTACTTTATATTATTTGTCTTGTTTTTTTTACTGTCTAATTAATGTAGTTTTAAAAATCACTTGTCGCCCTGGTAATTTTATTTATTTTTTTATTTTCTTCTATTATGTAAAATATTGTCAAAATAGTGGAATATATCCATTAACTTGTTTTGTTTTTTGTTTTTTAATTCTTTATTTTTGTTGCGCATTTGCTTAACATAGTCGCTTGAGATGCCACAACAGCTGTCTCAGGCTTCAAACAGAAAACATGAATAAACATTTGGCATTGAAATACTATGCACAATTTTAAATTAGGAAAGTGAGTTCCTACGTTACAACATTCTAATTAGAATTATCGCTAGATCGCCATAGTCTCCTGTTTGGAGGAGGGAGTTGTATGAGTATAGTATAATCTGTACATCCAGTGTGTGTGTAGGGTTCTAAATAACTATTCCTCGTCCCGTGTTAGTGATTCAAAATATTTGCTTTGGCGATAAAGAATTTTGCCCCACTCCTTGTTAGTGTGGCTCTGTTTGGGGGTCCCAGGTTCTGGCTCGCCTGGTGTGGGCGTACTTAATTTCATCCCTGGGTTGCCCCATGTGTTTAAGTGGTACTTGTGCAGTATCAAGCGGTTAGTGGCCCCTAACCAGGGAGGCCGCGGGGGGGCGGAATATACCAGCGGCCTGTTGTTGGCCCTAACCTGAGAGTGTTTTGCCGTGTAGTGTGCTACTCGTCGTGGCTACAGCGGTGTGCAGGATTTTTGCCATTACGTAGGTTATTTAATCCTGGGAAAAATAGTGTGCCTTACAGTGGTGCCTAGGTGCAAAGCATTAAACAATTAAGGAAAATTAATTTGAAACCCAGTGAAAGACAAATTATAATGAAAAACTAATTATAACGGCAGAGGCTTCATTGGTGAAGTGTGCCTATGGGTTGAGAGGCAGTCAGTGGTGTCAGGTGGTTGCCTCAGGGGCTCCTCTTCCCCTCGGTAGAAAAAGGACAGTCCTGGTGGGGTCCCACATATGGGAGCCGGCAGGCTCTTCTGTGTGGTCAGAGCCTTGTGGTAGTCCCAGTGCCCTAAGGAAAGAGTCCACCTCCTGAGTGGAGTTGAGGTGTAGAGTGGTGCCGTTGTGGTCCACCGATAGTGTTTTTGGTGCAGTGCAGCGGTATATCAACTTGGCGTCTTGGAGGGGGCGGGTCATAGGGCGCAGGGTTCTTCTCCATTGGAGTGTGGATTGTGTCAGGTCCTGATAAAAGGTAAGACTTGCGGTTTCAAAGTCCAATGTGTTTTGCCTTTTAGGGCAGCGAAGATGGCATTTCTGTCTGTTTGGGTATGGCACCGTACGATCACATCTTTGGTTGCTTGGGGGGTGCCTGTGGCGATTTCCGGATACGAAATATCCCTGCTATAGTTAATTTTTT